ATATAAGAGGAATCTTAGACCATCTCACTAAACAAAGGAAAAGATACAGGTATTGTGAGATTTGGGGGAAGAGTGTAATTGAGGTGAAATTTAAATGAAGCAGTGTTTACACAGACTTAGAGCAAAGCAACGTTGTATACAAAGCAGCCTACTTCAGGCCTGGACTGTAAAGCAAACCCAAGGTCCTGTTTCCTTGTAAACTAGAAAGTTAAGATGGATATGAATGCCGTGCTCCTTATCTGAGTCTCAGCATTGGAGCTAAATCAAGACTGCTTCTTTATGTCAAAGTGACTTAGATTCTCCATGAAAAAGTACAATGTTTTATTCTTGCTGATACAGGCTGAATATCCCTAATCTGAAAATCTGAAACAAAAAATGGTTCAAACTCTAAAACTTTCTGAGTGCTGACATGATGCTCAAAGGAAATGCTCACTGGTACATTTTGGATTTTGAATTTTCGGGTAAGAGATGCTCAACCATTAAGTATGATGCAAATATTCCAAAATCTGAAAAAATCCAAAATCCAAAACATTTCTGGTCCCAAGCATTTCAGATAAGGCATACTCAACCTGTATAATTAAACATAGCCAAGTTTCTGACAGTCTATGGTTTTCAAGAACGAAGTTTCTCCATGAGTAAGCAACCCAGAGTCACTCGAAGGACTTGTTTCAACACTTTACAGCTTCACCATTCTTGGGAGAAAATAGTTTCCCCTTAAGTTTGAGGGTTTATCTATATCTGCTACTCCAGCCCGATAAACAGCCAGGCAGATTTTTACTTTCTCAGTTAGTCACCTGAGATTCCTGTGACCTAAGATTCCAATTCTATTTTATGTCAGAGTGTGAAGAACATACTGTTTAGAAAGGAGTTTATCTGCTGGGATTATCTTTTGCTTTGTTTATCATGCATCAATTTCTCCAAAGATGTCCAATTCGGGCTTATACATTAGTCGTGAAGAAATAGTTATATCTTACTCTCTTAAAGTTCATTTACTCACGTAATATGCATAAAAATCACTTAGCTTGTTAAGTGATACCTCTATCACCAGAGAGTTTTCATTTACTATTAATAGTTCTTCATTGTATACTTTGTCTTTGCACTTTGTTGATGGTATTTTCTAGGACACAGTTCTTAATTTTGATGTATTTCAATTCATTTAGTTTTTCTTTAGTCACTTATGTTTTTCATGTCATGTGTAAGAAGCATTCCCTACTCCAAGGTTACAAAGATTTATTCCTGTTTTCTTACAAGAGTTTTATAGTTTCAGCTCTTACATGTACAAGTATAATCCATTTTGAATACATTTCTGTGTGTGGTAGAAGGTAGGTATCCAATTTCATTCTTTTGCATGTGGATATCCAGTTGTTCCAGTACCACTTATTTAAAAAACTATTTTTATCCCATTGTCTTGTTTTGGCACCCTTCTCAAAAATCAACTGATCACAAAGGTAAGGGGATTAAGTTCTGGGCTTTCGATTGTATTCCATTAATCCGTATATCTATCTTTATGCCCGTACCACAATGTCTTGATTACTGTACCTTTGTAGTAACTTTTAAATGAGGCAGCGTAAGCCCTCCAAATTTGTTCTTCTTTTTCAAGACTGTTTTGGCTATTCTGGGCATCTTGAATTTACACAAGAATTTCAGAATCAGCTTGTCAATTTCTGCAAAAGAGCAGGCTTGGATTGTGATAGAAATTAGATTGAATCTGTAGATCAATTTTGGGAGTATTGCCACCTTAACAATATTAAGTCTTCAAATCCATGAATGCAGGATGTCTTTCCACTTATTTAAATATTGTTTCATTTCTTTCAACAATGTTTTATAGTTTTCAGCGTACAAATCTTGCATTTCTTTTGGGGAAAAAAAGGTATCCAGGTCGGAAAGGAAGAAGTAAAAGTATTTGCAGATACATTCATGTATGTAGAAAATCCTAAGGAATCCACTAAAAAACTATTAGAATAAACAAGTTCAGCAAGATTGCAATATAAGATCAATATACAAAAACAAACTGTAGGTCTAAATACATAAGCAATAAATATTCCGAAAATAAAGTTAAGAAAATAATTCTAATGTTAATACCATCAAAAAGAACAAAATGCTGAGATGCAAGATTTGTGTGCTGCAAACTACAAAACATAGTTCCTGAGAAGAATATGTATTTGCTACTATTGGGTGGAATATTCTATAGATGTGTTAGGTCTAGTTAGTTTATAGTTATTTCTATTTCCTTGTTGATATTCTGCCTAATCCTACCAATTATTAAATGTGAGATATTAAAGTTTCCAACTATTATTGTTGAATGATCTATGTCTCCCTTCAACATGCCATTATAAAAGAAAAGTACAGATTCCTTTTAAGACTGCTACTTCTAACAAATTTTCTTGATACGTTATGACATTTAAGTTGCAGGAGTCTTCATAATAAAATATTAGCCCACATTGTAAATTCTGTATATTGTTGTGAGAAAAGAGTAGAAAACAATACTTTCACTTAACAACAAAGCCCCAAAATATGAGGTAAAAACTGACAATTAACAGGATTGGAAATTCACTAATAAGCAGTTCTTAAAATAGAGACAGGTTTACCTACCTGAAGTAGTGCCTTGTCTAATTCCCTTAACAAATAATTTTCCTATAATTCTAATTTCTACAGAAGAGATTTTTTAATAGGTTAAAAAAACTGATGATATATTGTTTTAAGGCAATGTTCTAATGACTATTCTTTTTTTAAAAATTTATTATATTTTGAATTTTCATTTTTATTTTTGTCAGAAGCTACTAATGACTTCTTGAATAGAAACATAGCTATGTTAATGGGGCATAATAAAGAATGATTGATTTCTAACTTCAATTAGATAGATAGCACTGTATAACAATCCTATCACTGGTAACTGTCAGTTTTTTCTTCAGTTTCTTACTATAGTTAAGTACTACAGTATATTCTATGCTAGGCACTATTTTAAGTACTTTAGATATATTAACTTCAATTAGATAGAGAGCACTGTATAACAATCCTATCACCGGTAACTGTCAGTTTCTTCTACAGTTTCTTACTAGTTTCTTACTATAGTAAGTACTACAGTATATTCTATGCTAGGCACTATTTTAAGTACTTTAGATATATTAGCTCATTTAATTCCTACCTTAAACTGCTATTATTACACCCATTTTAGACAAGAGGAAACTAAGGTCCAGAAAGCTTAAGTAATGTGGATAAGCCAGGACTAGAATCAAAATAAGATAGCCTTTAGAGTTTGTGCTCTTAAACAATGGACAAGGCTCACCAACAAGTGAACATTTCTCCCAAGGTATAAGCAAATCAAAACAAAGAAATTAAATATAAAAATTCAGGTGGCTTCTATGAAAATATTATGTAGGAAATCCAATGTTAACTAAATTTAAATATATATTTAATATATATGATAAGGGCCCTTATTATCTCTGGGTGGTAAAATGTGGATGATTTTTATTTTCTTCCTCTTATTTAGTTGTAAATTCTGCTTTTAATACATTGACCAGTATATGTTCAAGATTGACAGGGTAACAACTCAAACTTCATGAATCAGAAAACAGCTGACTTGATGAACAAGATTTTTCAAGTTCCAAATTATTGAAGGAATATTTTAAGATGCACTGAATGAGTTCTATGTGCCAGGCCCTAATCTCAGTGCTGGGGGCAAAAATTTTTATTAAAACCTGAAAACAATGAAAGGTAAGTCTAGAATGACAATATAGCTGTGGTTAGTGCTATAACAGAGCTGTTTCTAAATAGTAATCATCCTAATCAGACTAGGGGTCAAGGAAGCTTGAAGGTACTTATCTGATTTGAGAGATAGTATAAAATACTATGGGGTTTAGAATGATTTGATCCAGACGTAGAGAAAAGAAAAAACCTTGTCTGGTGATGTTAGAATGTAATTAGAGTATATAAACCTATAAATATATGTAACTGGAAAAGTCTTCTTTATTCATTATATTTCAGTGTGGTTTGACCAATCAGCACATCCTTAATATTTCATCTTAGCAGCACTTCTAAAAAGTCTACTGATAATCTAAATCGGGGGTGGGCAAACTACAGGGGAAGAGGGTGAACTATATACTGAGACCATATATGGTCCACCAAGCCTAAAATATTTACTATCTGGCCTTTATTATTTTACAGAAAAAGTTTACCCACCCTTGAAAAGTCTCTGAATGGATTTCTGTTCAGACTGAATCTAAAACCTATTTTACCAATAAACTCTTATTATCAGTTTGTGATGGAAGAAGTCATCAGAAAGGCACTATAATTGCTATGGAACTTAGTCTAGACATTGGCGCAATTACATACTTGCTTACAGTGGGAAGGAGAAAGAGTGGGAAGGGGTTTATAAGACAGGATAAACAAGAGTAGTTAGCTCAGAAAGATGTGGGTTTTGAGGGAGGTAGGGGAATCAAGGATAGAATATGGTTGAAGCAGACAAAAAATATGGAACAGTCTTAAGGGGTTTTACGATAAGCTGCTCAAGTTGGAAGGTAACTGTTGAGATATTAACCACACAGAAGACAGCTAGGTGAGAGCTCGGTCTACTGAGAACACCAAGACCAGAGACAGGAAGTTACTTGCCAAAGTTCCCAGAGCAAAGGAGTGGGAGACCAAGAACTGGACTACAACCTCCCAAATCTCAGTTCTGTCCTTTCCACAGCATCACCCTGCCCCCTCACCACAGGACAATGTGAACCTGGAAATACACCACTATCAGCTTGTCATAAGTTAGCTCAACTGAGTTCCAAAAAAACGAAGTCTCTTCAGGAGTTCAGCTCCCTACCCCAATTATCAGTTATTTTTCAGGCAAGAACTAAGCAAGGTGTTATGTAGGACTCAAAGGAGAGGAGGAAAGAGACCAGTTCTATTTATCCCAGATGCTGTGAAAAATAAGACCAAACACCATTAAAATAAGCCTTAAGATATTCAATGGCTTTCTAGAAATAAGAAACATCAAATTTCAAATAATTTACCTGGTTCCAATTTTATTACTTTTATTGCTGCTAATTCACCAGTGTTAACATTCCGTGCCTAAAAAAAGAAGGAAAAAAAGATTATTGTGAAGAAAGCTTTCATAAAAAGCTGTATAAAATTACGTTTTAGCTTACAGTTTATCTTCAATTTTACAAAAATGTTTTAAAGCAAGAAATGTAAAAGTGACTTACATTTATAAAACAATAGAGGATTCTTCACAATAAATTTCAACATTAATTCAAGCGTAAATTTAATATTGGCACTAAAAAAAATCCAGCTAATTTATATACAAACCTTATATGTATGTGCCAGGCACTATTTTGAGTGTTTTTATATTAACTCATTTAATCCTCACAACAATCTTATAAGGTCTTATGAGGTATAGATACTGATATTATTCCCATGTTGCAAATGAGGAAACTGAAGCACAGAGAAGTTAAAGAAATTACCAAGATCATATAACCAGTGAGACAGTGCTCGGATTCAAACCCAGACAGTCTGACTACAGAGGCTGAGTCTTGAAGTATCACACTGCACTGCCATTCATTCAAAGGCTAGGTGAACAGACTAGCCTTAAATTTTGTCATATGAAAGTTTGAGAACATGAAAGGCTAATGCAATTACATATGTAATTATGAGAATAGCTCCTTTGCATCCTTTGAAACACACTTGATGGTACAAATAAATTTAGTTCAATACAAAACAAATATATTTTTGTAAGCCACATATTAAAAATAAAAATCACTTTAAAAAATTCACAATATTACATTGCTGGTATTTACAACTGTGTAATCATGTATAAATAACAGAAACCATTCAATGTGTATAAAAATGGCAGTAACTCTTTATCGATTTAAAAGGCTTTATAATTGGATCAGAACTTCCAAAATGATCAAACTATTAATTGAAACTTAAATTAATTGTTGTATCAACCAATGAAGAACATATGCAATTTCCTAATCACAGAAAAATCCATTCATGTGACCAGGATTATTCCTTGTTGCAACACTCCTGTATTAATGGATTGGTGAAGATCAGTGAATCACTTGGCAAAAGGTGATAACACCATTAACAGTGGAATCTTTCTAAGAATACCAGGGCATTAAAAATATCAGCCAAGGATCTAAGAAGATAGATATGAGACATAACCATTGCTGAAAATATAAATTTAACCATTTAATTCAAAGAAGAACAAAGATATTAAAGGATCTCCTCATACAAATTAAGAAAAAAAATTTAAACGAAAATTTAAAGGGGAAATTCATTTAAAAATTGGTCCTCCCCCCAAATCCCCATAACCAATAAACACTTCTAATGCCCACTTATAAGAGGTGGCACAAAACAGATCTGAACACTTATTTCAAATTAAACTTAATTTTCATTAAATGAGATAGATGTTTAAAAACAGATGGTACTGGATAAATACTTATTCCTTTCCCCAGGATGAAAAGACATATAAATGATGAAACAGAATATCATTCCTAAGAGCATTCTATAAAGGGGGGCAAGGAATACCTGAAAAATATTCAGGTATATCACACCAACTTTAGTCATAACATTTCTTAAACACTATCACACTATTGGCCTCTTCTCACACTGATACCTTTTCTCTGTTAGGCTTCTCCTTTATATCTGTCCTTCAAGCCTCATCTTTTTTTAGCATCTCCTTCAAATAAGATGATACTCTCTCCAATTCTCAACATTTTAAAATCATGCCATAGTTTTGGATTTTGTTTACTGAAAAGAAATTCAGAACATGGGTGATTCTATTATGGAACAGCAGAGAAATGTGAACTCAGAAAGCTAGATGATTATTTATAGCTGAAAGTTTGTTCCCAATGACCACAGGAGGGCACACTCTCAACTGACAATACAAGTTACACAAAGTATCCAAAATGGTTGAACACAACGTCCTCTTCTAAAAATAGATTTATTAATAGTTAACACCAACATGTATTTAATAGAAGAATCATGACAGTAATTACTGATGAGTAGTTTACCAAGGTCAATATTTACCATAAGGCTTGACTTATGAATACAATATTTCAAAAGGTAAATTAGTCCAGACTTTCCTAAAGGATAACAGTTTTTACATTATAGTTCTTTAGGGTCAATAAAAAAACAGACAGCTAAAATGATTAGTGCTCTTTGTGCCTACGATGCTGTCTGAAATATTTTCCAGTATGTAGCTTATTTGACAGTATTTGGCAGTATTAAGACATTTCACAAAAAGAAAGGGGAAAGGATAACAAAAACCCCTCAGGGAACTTTAATTTCTGAGCCTTTCCTCATCAGAATCCATTCCTCATCAGAATGCTTTACTAAAGCATTCTGATTCATTAAAAATCTTGGTCTTCTGGCTAAAATAAATCATATTTTGCTGTCTCTAAAGGTAAATTTAAAAATCAATATTATCTCTAACATTCTGCAACTGCTATTCTTTTTTCAATCATCTTGAGCAGTTTACTTTTTAAAAATGAGAGCAAGATAGAAATTATAAATTAGTACCATGTATAAAGTTAAAAATTTTGAATTCAGAATTGGTAATCTAAAATTTTTATACTTGTTGAAGGGCAGAAAACTAAGGATAAATACTCTAAGCATCTAACCATCTTGACCTAATCTTCTGCCACCTCACTGACCTACCATTCTTCACAAGATCCCAAAGTGATGTTCCCATCGCATCGTTCTAGAGTTTAGAACTCTTCAGGAGTACACACTATGGCTTTAAAGACAAAAAAAAAAAAAAAATCCAAATTCCTTGTACTTAAATTTTTCACTAAATATAGCCTTTTTTATAATAGCTTTATTAGGCCAGAATTCACATAACATACAGTTCACCCTTTTACTGTGTGCATGCAATTCAGTGGTTTTTAGTACATTCAGAATTACATGACCATCATTACTATCTAATCTTAGAAGATTTTCATCACCTCAAAAAGAAATCCCCTAGGCCGGGCGCCGTGGCTCACGCCTGTAATCCTAGCTCTAGCTCTCTGGGAGGCCGAGGCGGGTGGATTGCTCGAGGTCAGGAGTTCAAAACCAGCCTGAGCAAGAGCGAGACCCTGTCTCTACTATAAATAGAAAGAAATTAATTGGCCAACTGATATATTTATAAAAAATCAGCTGGGCATGGTGGAACATGCCTGTAGTCCCAGCTACTCGGGAGGCTGAGGCAGGAGGATTGCTTGAGCCCAGGAGTTTGAGGTTGCTGTGAGCTAGGCTGATGCCATGGCACTCAACTCTAGCCTGGGCAACAAAGTGAGACTCTGTCTCAAAAAAAAAAAAATCCCAGACCCATTAGCAGTCACTCCTTATTCCTACTCTTCTCAGTCCTTGGCAACTACTATTAATAATTTACTTTACATCTCTATGGATTTGACTATTGTGAACATCTCATGTAACTGGGATCAAACAATAAGTGGTCCTTTGTGACTGGTTTCTTTCACTTAGCATAATGTTTTCTGATTCATCCTGTCAGACATTCATCCATATATTATTGCCAAATAGCATTTGATTGTATGGAAATACCATATTTTGTTAGTTCATTCATCAGTCAAAGGATATTTGGGTTGTTTCTACTTTTTGGCTATTGTTAATAATGCTGCTGAAAACTCAAGTGTACAGATTTTTTGTGTGTACCTATGTTTCCAATTTCTTGGACATATATACCTAAGGGTATGGAATTACTGGGTCACACAGCAGCTCTACGTTGAACTTTTGAAGAACTGTCAAAACTGTTTTTTAAAGTAGCTGTACCATTTCACATCATCACCAGCAATGTATGAAAGTTCCAATTTTTCCACATACTTGCCAGTATCAGTTACTGTCTATTTTTTTTTTTAGCCATCCTTGTGGCTATGAAGTGGTATCTCATTGTGGTTTGATTTGCATTTCACTAATGACCAATGATGTTGAGCAACTTCTTACACACTTATCAGCCATTTGAATAACTTCTTTAGAGAAGTCTATTCAATTCTTTGCCCATTTTATTTCTTTTTTCATTGTTAAATTTTAAGAGTTCTTTACATATATTCTAGATATAAATCCCTTATCAGTTACATGACTTACAAATATTTCCTCCCATTCTGTGGGTTGTCTTTTCATTTTCTTATGGTATCCTCTGAAGCACAGCAGTTAATTTTGATCAAGTCCAACTCATCAATTTTTTGTTGCTTGTGCTTTTAGTGTTATAGCTAAGAAACCACTGTCTAAAGCAAGATCACAAAAGATTTTTTTCCTAGGAGTTTTATAGTTTTAACTCTTATGTTTAGGTCTATAATCCACTTTGAGTGAATTTTTATATGTCAAGTAGGGCTCCAATTCCATTCTTTTGCATGTGGATGTGAAATTGTGAAATATAGCAATTTACCTATAAAACCTTTTACTATCTGCCCCCACCCCCATTTATCTTTCTAGTCACTCCCTAACTTGTACTTTATGCTCTAGCCAAACTAAACAACTTGCCATTCCCCAATGCTACCCACACCTTTGCCCCAACTCCCTCCCCTCTGCCTAATAGACATTCTTTGAAGCTCAGCTTAGGCTATCATCAGTTCCCATAAGCCTTTTCCTAACCCTAGACCCACAACTTATTCTGGTTGGTTTAGGCATCCCACACAGACTCCCAGAGATTCTGGGCAACCTTTCTGAAATGGCAGTAGCCCTTGTGAGGAAAACCTTGCAGATCTGGAACTGATCTGTTTAGAGTAGTTCTTATAAAATACAAAGCTTCAAAGCTTCCCAGAATTCAGTTTGGCTCAGTGAGCCTTGCAGGGGCCATTCAGATTAGAACTAGATTTGGAAAGAATTTTTCTGAGATGATTTCATGCCGATTGCTGAGTTATCTCTAACTATCAGAAAAGTAATTCCTTGAGTGTAGACCGAAGGTAAATAACATAATCAAGGAACAATCATTAAGAGCAAAAAAAATGTGCTAGGTACTATATAAAGTGAGTTAGAGATAGTCATTATCAGTAAAAAATCTGATTATCTATGTACTGAGTACCCTGGGGTATTCGAACCTTACTAGTAGAAAGGGATATTCAATGTGAATATGAAGAAAGGTTCTGAAATGAAAGTTAAGAAATGCAAAGTTTAGTCCTGGCTATGCCAATAACAAGTAATGGGATCTGAGCAAGTAATTTCCCTTGTGTCCTCTTCCTGACCCCTCTGCCTACAATTTAAAAACAAGAAGGTAAAAACAAAAACCGACTATTTCTGAAGTTCCTTTTAATTCTAAAAGTCAATGTTTACATGAATAATTTCAATCTAAATTAACAGATTCCACATAGTGAACCAGCTGGCTGGTTATATAAAAATCACATAAGGAGTTTAAATACAAAACAAAACAACAAAATACTGGCACTAATTTTGAATTCTAAATCAGGAGATTAAGAATGGGATCCAGGAATCTGTATTTGAAGCTACTGAGGTGCTGCTGATACACAGTCAGGTATCACAGTCTAAACACTGTGCCACTTGAGTTTTATAAAATACAACTAACTACCAACTTATAAGTCTGAAAGAGATGGCTTCAATGTAAGTACAGGAATGGCTTCAATGAAGGTGATACCATTTACGCAGAAGTTTGAAAGATGGCCTGGATTACAACAAACACATTAATAGAAAATGGATGGGGAGATGGGCATAGAAAAGCATGAGCAAAGGCTTGGGGACAGAAAACACAGACTATTTTGAGTGTATTGGGCCAGCCAAACCTCACAGTGCCGCCCATACAAATATTCCCTTTGAGAGGGAAATGGATAACCCACACACACTGCTGAAGGAATAGTTTTATTTGCTTTTCCACAGTCGACTGAACCAGATATGTATCCACCACAAGGGCAACGTATTCATAGGAAGACAGATAGGGTGACATATATCCCTGGTTTGTCTAGGACACTCCTTGGGTTATGCCTATTGTTCTAGCAGAATTATTAATAGTGACTTTTTTCACTCTCAATTAAAATTTAATTGAATTTTAAAATAAATTAGTTAATAGTTAAAATAGTTAAAAATAGTTAAAATAATTAACTATAGTTTCTATAGTTTCTAAAAAATTATAGGTTACTCTACCAATAAACCATGAGCTGACATGAAAAAAGGGAACAGGCCAATTAAATTCTCTAAAATAAAGGTCAACAAGCATGCCTATTTTTATAAATAAAGTTTTATTGGTACACAGCCATGCTCATTTGTCAATGGCTACTGTCACGATACCATGGCAGAGTTGAGTAGCTAACATGGAGACCATATGGCCACAAAGCCTAAAGTATTACTATCTGGCCCTTTATCAAAAAAGTTTGTTGATCCCTGCTCTAAAACAGCACTATCCAATAGAACTTCTTGCATTGAGGGAAATGTTCTGTATCTGCACTGTCCAGCATATTAGCTCCATACTGCATGTACCTATTGATGAATTAAAATGTGGCCAGTGCAACTGAAGAAGTGAATTTTGTTTAATTATATAGGTATATGCAATAAAATATTTAAAATTTAGAGTTAAAATTTTTTTAAAACTACCAGATAGTAAAATGGATTTTTTTATATAGTTCTATTAGTTCTAACACATGTATAAATTTATGTAACCACCACCACAATCAGCAAACAGAAAAGTTTAATCACAGAAAAAGCTCCAGTGGAAGTAATACCCTTCCTAAGCCCTAGAAATCAATGATTTGTTCTCTGCCACTATAGTTCTTCTTTTTGAGAATGTCATATGATTTAAATCATTT